AGTTTTATTAAAGAAATGACCCAAATCAGACGGTTATTTCTGTCTATGAGTATGACTATGACTCTCTATGCTTTGCTGGAGTGGTTGTTCCCAGGTAATAAACATAACAACTTTTAACTCATGATCTTTATTTGGACATTAAATGAATATTTACTTCATTTTGGGTATGTTTTAGTAGTCTAGACCTGTCTACATGGGTGTCGATCCCGGGGGGGGGGGGGGGGGGGGGGAGGGGGGGAGGGGGGGAGGGGGGGGGGGGGGGGGGGGGGGGGGGGGGGGGGGAGGGGGAGGGGGGGGAGGGGGGGGTATATCCCCCCCCCCCCCCAATATTTCAGGTGGGGGGATGGCCTGTACAATCATCCCCCCCAATAATTCACCATAAAAAAAAAAACCCCAAAAAGAGAAAAATTAATGATGAGAGCCCGGTGAGAGTAGTTAATGGTTATTACTCACAAGATGACCATCAATATACACATTTTGCTATCTCATTTTCATAATACATACGTAAATGAGACAACCGTATATGAGACAAGAATAAATTGAATTCTCGCTCATATGGCTTCATCAGGAATTGATGAATTTATTCAATTTATTCAATCAACAGCATCATAGAAATGCAGTGCGCCAAATGCAAAGCCACAGCCTTAAAAAGCAACGAGCTAAATGTTAAGCACGAAGCGCAAAAGTGCAAAAAAAAGTAGAGAGTGGGAGAGAGAGATAATTAGAGACAGAGAGGAAACAGGCGTGTAGCCAGGTAGGGGGTGGTGGGGGAGGTCGCCTGCCCCCCCCCCCCAAAAAAAAAAAAAAAAAAAAAAAAATGCCGGCCAAAAAAAAAAGAGAGAGAGAGAAAGAAGAAAGGAAGAGGACGTAGGAAGAAAAAAAATTAAGAGTCGAGAACGGTACAACGCATCGTCATCTTTCTTTAATAATCTAATGAAATGTCAGAGCTTCCGCGCGGAAGGGGGGGAACTGAATTCAGACAAGGATTAAGAGTCGAGAATGGTACAACGAATCGTCTTCTTTCTTTAATAATCTAATGAAATGTCAGAGCTTCCGCGCGGAAGGGGGGCTGGGAACTGAATTCAGACAAGGATTAAGAATCGAGAATGGTACAACGAATCGTCTTCTTTCTTTAATAATTTAATGAAATGTCAGAGCTTCCACACTACGCGCGGAGGAAGGGGAACTTGATTCAAACAAGGATTAAAAGTCGAGAACGGTACAACGAATCGTCTTCTTTCTCTAATAATTTAATGAAACATCAAAGCTTCCGAGCTTTGCGCGGGACGGGGAACTCCCCTCCCTGCACCCACCCCTAGGGAGCGCGCTTTGCGCGCTCTGTAAGTGATTCGCACGCTTTGCGTGCTTACTCCCGCCCCCCTAAAATATAATCATTGCTACGCGCTTGAGAGGATAATAACCCATATTCTCTGAAATGTTATCTTTATTGAGGGTTACTTGAAAAAAGTTAATAACTTGTAAGGGAGGGGTTGCAACCTGCCACACGCTTCTACCTCTTGGTTGCTTTGATCCATTGCCGAAAATATTTTGACACCTATCATCCTAGCCTTAAGGGCTCTCTCAAAATGTTTTTTTACGATATTATTCGAGAAAGCCTTAACCGCCTCCCATACCACTGCACGGAGAGGTAGGTAAACAACATCTCAAATGGGTCCAAAATCACACTTTCCCGCACCCGACCAATATTGGACAGTGGCTTTGATGAATTTTATGATATTTTTTCTCCTAACTACCTACTGAATTTAAAAATCGGAGGTAAAAATAAGAAAATAATAGCAATTCACGATCTCTACACAATGGTGATGACCTCTGACTGGCACTTCCGTGATTGTGCTGCTTCCGTATAATGCGCTGTACGAGTGTTATGCAGCGCATTTACCGGAAGCAGCACATTTACGAAGCGCAAGTCAGAGGTCATCACCATTGTCATGATTGTGTAGAGATCGTGAATTCACACGGTACAGGTGAAAAGGGAGCTGAGCTGTATCGGTCTCGAACAAACAGAGCCCTTCTCAACCTCGTGCATATTCAGCGATTTCGAGCGATCGGCGCTCGATAGCATGAATATTCATATTTTCTTCGCCACTGCCGCGCATGCGTACCTTCTCATGGCTATTTTGAATCAACGCTGCGACATGGAAGAATCATTGGTGTAGTACCCCGAATTAACCTTTTTTTCCCATCGAAGACTTTTTCAAATTATACATTCAAGTGATTGGAGTTGAGCCCTGAGGAGTCGTGTACCCTATGATGTAAAAATTGTAAGTACTCCCTTTCAAGTTCAAGTTCAAGTTCATTTATTCAAAACCACACAAAACATGATATAATCTTTTACATGAAAAAGAGACTGGTAATAGTACATCATTAAGTGAATGGTTTTAGGACCCCTGTAGAAGCTAAGCTTGTGAGCGGGGCCCTATAGTCAACAAAATACATACATTAACGATATGGCAAGGTGAATAAAAAGAATGTAATGTTTATACAAGGGATGAAAACAAACTAAGCTACAGAATATAGAACACACAAAAATATTCACACACACGCGCGCACACACACAGTCCTTAGTGGTCTATAAGCGTTTGAAAATGAGAAATTATTAAGATACAAAGTAGAATTATGTCAGTTTTCCAAGTAGGTACGTTTTAGATAACCTTCTAAACCTAGAAAGAGTTTAGACCGAAAGCTTCAGTCTCTATACCGTCGGTTGTTCCACTGAGACTACGTCTGGCTCCACTAGACCTCCGGTTATAGAGACTGAACGATCGCCTATGCCAGCCTATGTTGAAGATATCACGGCTAGATTTTAGCCGTTAGGCCCCTCCCACAAACATGAACAAACTTGCCACGGCCGTATTGTTATGCCCCCAAAATCCCCCAAAATGTCATTTTACCTCGTGCATATCCAATTTTACATTAGGCCTAGGCTATAATACATCGGTTCCACTTACTAACTTGATTGAAATAATCTGTTTAATGGTCCCTTTTAAGGAAATTATGGGTCAAAATCGACATCCATGTTGAAAATCTTGCAAGCCGTGTTAAACTCTCGCTGCCGTCAATCTCATCCCTTCTAGTCTACGCCGAAGGCAAAAATGTTATGAAGGAAAAACTGTGATAACGCCATTACGAACGTGTAGATGGCGCACAGTTTTTCCTTCATAATCATTTTGCCTTCGGCGTAGACTAGAAGGGATGAGATTGACGGCAGCGAGAGTTTAACACGGCTTGCAAGATTTTCAACATGGATGTCGATTTTGACCCATAATTTCCTTAAAAGGGACCATTAAACGGATTATTTCAATCAAGTTAGTAAGTGGAACCGATGTATTATAGCCTAGGCCTAATGTAAAATTGGATATGCACGAGGTAAAATGACATTTTGGGGGATTTTGGGGGCATAACAATACGGCCGTGGCAAGTTTGTTCATGTTTGTGGGAGGGGCCTAACGGCTAAAATCTAGCCGTGATATCTTCAACATAGGCTGGCATAGGCGATCGTTCAGTCTCTATAACCGGAGGTCTAGTGGAGCCAGACGTAGTCTCAGTGGAACAACCGACGGTATAGAGACTGAAGCTTTCGGTCTAGAAAGAGTTGTACTAGAGGTCTATATTTTATATCATCAGGCAAACTGTTCCATTCTTTGCAGATTTAACGATAATATCACCCAATCGGCTGTTTTACTAGCCCCCATGAGAAACCAACAAAACCACCCGACGCTCCGACGCCTGCGGCGCCGGTGTTGGAGCTTCCCGGAGTTACAGCGTTCGGAGAGCTCTTCAGGTGCTATGCCGGGGCTGTATTTAAGCATTTTGTAATTTATAATAATCACTAGATTATTATAAATTACAAAATTAAAATAATTACATTCATTACTTTGAATGTTTCCAAGCATTGAATTTTGATAACCTTGTTTCAACTTTCAACTTTGCAATAATGAAAATAAAGTTAGTTTTTAAAATCAATGAATAGGGTCTATCTACTTTAAAGCTAGACCGAATTTTCCGTCTCTTTCGTTCGTTAGCCTCTTATTGGGGTAGGGTCGGCTCTCTCTTTAGAGACGGAAGCCGTTTATACACATGTCCTTGCTAACGCCACGGCCAGTTCTGGTCGTAGCGTTTTGCCCCAAAATCCCCCAAAATGTCATTTTACCTCGAGCATGTTATATTGTAAATTAGGCCTAGGCTATAATAAATCAGTTCCACTTACCAACTTGACTGAAATAATCAGTTTAATAGTCCCTTTTTAGGAAATTATGGGTCAAAATCGGAATCCATGTTGAAAAAGATTTTCAAAATGGATTTCGATTTTGACCCATAATTTCCTAAAAAGGGACTATTAAACTGATTATTTCAGTCAAGTTGGTAAGTGGAACTGATTTATTATAGCCTAGGCCTAATTTACATTATAACATGCTCGAGGTAAAATGACATTTTGGGGGATTTTGGGGGCAAAACGCTACGACCAGGACTGGCCGTGGCGTTAGCAAGGACATGTGTATAAACGGCTTCCGTCTCTAAAGAGAGAGCCGACCCTACCCCAATAAGAGGCTAACGAACGAAAGAGACGGAAAATTCGGTCTACTTTAAAGCTAGACTTTCTAGGGTCTAGATCTAGACCTATATCATCCCCCCAACCACGGATACAAATCGACACCGTTGCCTGTCTACTAGGAGTCGGGCTAACTCGCACCAGGGGACAGTTTTTGCATGTTTAGGTTTAGGGTTAGGTTAAGGGTTAGGATTAGGGTTAGGGTTAGGGTAAAATGACAAAAAACGACCGTTTTTGCAGCTGGGCCGAGTTGTCCCCTGGTCCGAGTTAGCCCGGATCCGTTTTAGTAGTAGGGTATCTCCACGCCGGAGCTAGGGGTCAAATTTTAGATACGTTTCTGAACAAGCGCCGTTTCTTTGACATGACCAAAACTCAACTTTGTTTAATCTTTAAAGGTGATATAGATCTAGGTCTAGACTGTATAACTTACTTCGTTTTTAATGTCGTCGCCATATCGATTCTTTATTCACATGTGATCCTGGATTCTATTCTCGGCCTCCAATAGCTAAGGCAGCCGGCAGAGGGTATTCAGTCTTTTGCTCAGGCTACATTAGCTAGTACAGTACAGTTGATCTGTAGGCTGCGCGCGCTAGCTATGCTATGGGATATACACGTGTGTAGGCTAGCGATAGCAAGCATGCTACTGCATGCGGGTGTAGCTTTTTTTCACACACGCACCTGTACGCGTATTTTTTATTTACACGGCAGCGAGGGGAAAAGCTCGATTAATTCCAATGAAACCGCTCGCAGAGAGCCTAGTCTGTAGTCCGTGACAATACTGTGGCCGAGGGCATTATGTTCACGCTCTCTGTGTAGTCTGCAGGCACAGACCCTAATTTGACACTTTATCAAAAAAATCATTGTGCCTTGAGAGAAGTCTAGCCCAGCTACCTACTAAGGCGTAAATATTCACTTCTGAATGAAAAACGCCTATAAATTAAAACAACAACAACATGTTTGTGTCTACAGTACATGGCCTATAGTAGTCTTATAGTGCAGACTCACTTTTACGACTGACCAGGGTTTGTGCTTGCAGACTACTCTCTGTGCCACGGTGTCGCATACGCATATTATACATGACTGGCAGGGAGTGTAATTTATAACATTATTTGGGACTGCTGAAGCCTGAAGCAGGGATATGTGAGTTTAAACATATCCCTGCCTGAAGGGAGTTATATTTTCCCAAAGCGCGCAGCGCTGAGGGAAAATATGGTCACAAGGGAAAATATAACTCCCTTCAGGTCCAAACCCCCTGCCAGTCAATAAATGTTATATTAGATAGCCTTGGTTTGATTTTTTTTGGGGGGGGGGGTCCATATTTTTTTTTGCCCGAAATTGTTTGCAAAAAAAAATGACTGAACAATTATATTTCGAGATAATTCAATAAAGAAAAAAAAAAAAAAAAAAAAATCTTTAAAAAAAAAAGCATTTGGGGGGGGGGAGGGGGGATTCATGGAAAATATGACCCTCGGTATTAACGGTGTAATGTGTGTAATTGGTGACATACAGTCCTCAAGAGGGCGACATGCATTGATTAAAAATATATTAATTTTTCACCAGCTGGTAAAATATAACTGGCCAGGAAAATATAACCGGCCAGGAAGATATAACAATTTGGATCCTCGCAATCGATAGCACGTGACGAGCTCTTGACCAATCACATCTCGGTATTTGTCTAAGCTATCTAATATAATATCATACTGCCATCTCTGTTTAATATTGCATAAAACATCTATCTATTTTGTTTTCTTGTTTTCCTTATGATGCCTTTCTTCGTTTCCTTCTCTAAACTCCTTATGTTGTATAGTTCCCTCTCAAGGTCAGGATAATAATTAAGCTATAAAAACAATGTTTCTTGACAAAAATCGACCGATTAGCTATTCTCGTTTGGAAATTATATATCACAACAACATATTCTGAGACTTACATGGTCGCAGCTATAGCATTGCACGGCCGAAGGCGCAATTAGAAATTTATCAAAATTTACCGGGAGCACCGGTAAATTTTTATATTCAATTTTTCTCGAAAGCAGAAGTATTTTAGGGGCAATTTTTTCTAGTGGTTATAATACATTCACAGGGGCATTCAAATATATCAAAGTTGTAAAGATTCACTATCTACCCAATTTTCAAAATTTCCCAAAACTTTGTATTACCTTTAATACAGTTAAACCGACTTCTTAATTATTTTTCAAACAATGATAGTTATTAATAATGATGAAGAATATACATTTAATGTTTTCTCATACAATACTAGTCCAAGTGACTTTGACGATACATTGCAAGATGTATTTGAAAATTCTTTTAATATCACTCATGTAAATATTAGATCATTAAATAAAAACATTAATGAATTGCATATACTGTATGATCATTCTATAAAGCACAAATTTGATATTATTGCCCTTTCAGAAGTTTGGAATGTTACTAGACAGGTTATGTTTTGGAGGTTAACTACCGCCAGGGGAATGAGAGAGAACTTGGAGTAGGAGCATACATTCACAAACAAGTGAATTATAAAATACTTGAATTTAACGTTGTTCATGCAGAAAGTTTGATGGTACAAGAATAGTATTGATAATTTTGTGATAGGTATGATTTATAGGAAACCAAATAGGAACATTGATAAGTATTTCTAAATGGCTTAATTACTTGGTGTATTAGAAAATATAAATATTGGAAGATCAAATGTAGTTTTAATAGGTGATTACAATATTGATCTTTCACTTTCACTAACAGGTACGTCAAAGACAGTGGCGGATCCAGGGGGCCCGGGGGCCCGCCCCCTGGACCCCACGTCAATTCGTGACCTGCCAGTGTCACAAATAAGGTATAAAATATGCTCATCTGACGAGAATTGAATGTATAAAACCCCTGAGCTTATGGTGGCTCCGCCACCTGGACCCCACGCCAATACATGACCTGCCAGTGTCACAAATAAGGTATAAAATTATGCTCATCTGACGATAAATTGATGTTTAAACCCCTGAGCTTCCGGGGGCTCCGCCCCCTGGACCCCAAGCCAATTCGTGACCTGCCAGTGTGACAAATAAGGTATAAAATTATGCTCATCTGACGATAATTTGATGTATAAAACCCCCGAGCTTCTGAGGGCTATAGCTCCGCCCTCTGGGCAAAAAACGTGTAAAAACACATTAATTATACTTTTTTTGGAGATGCCTCCCCCCTTCTGCATTTTCTTATGTTATTCTTTGTTTCTTCCTTCTATTCTTATATTATTCTTTGTTTTTATCCTTCTATCACCTTTTCTTATGTAACTTTTGTTTTAAGCATTCTATCACTTCCTCTTTCTGTATCTCCTTATGTTATTCTTTGTTTCTCCCCTTTATTCTTATGTTATTCTTTGTTTGTTTCTTTTCTTATGCCCCCTGGACCCCACTCCAATTCGTGACCTGCCAGTGTCACAAATAAAATTATGCTCATCCGACGATAATTTGATGTATAAAACCCCTGAGCTTCTGAGGGCTCTGCCCTCTGGGAAAAAAACATGTAAAAACACGTTAATTTTACCCCCTTTCTGCCTTTTCTTACGTTATTCTTTGTTTCTTCCTTCTATTCTTATGTTATTCTTTGTTTTTTTCCTTCTATCACCTTTTCTTATGTAATTCTTTGTTTTAAGCATTCTATCACTTCCTCTTTCTGTCTTTCCTTATGTTATTCTTTGTTTCTTCCCTTTATTCTTATGTTATTCTTTGTTTTTTCTTCTATCACCTTCTCTTATGTTATTCTTTGTTTCTTTCTTTTCTTATGCCCCCTGGCCGACCCCACTCCAATTCGTGACCTGCCAGTGTCACAAATAAAATTATGCTCATCCGACGATAATTTGATGTATAAAACCCCTGAGCTTCTGAGGGCTCCGCCCTCTGGGGAAAAAACATGTAAAAACACGTTAATTTTACCTTTTTTTGAGATGCCCCCCCCCCCCAGCGCTCAAGGGATGGGGGTGCGATTTTTCAAATTTTCGAGGGCCCCCAAAAAGTGCTCACTACCCCCCCCCTATTCTATTGGATCAACATTAGCAAAGAAGATTCCAACTGTTAATCTTGATTTTAACAACTATTTAGCTAGAAGAAATGAAAAATCCTTCTTTTAGAAACCCATAAAATAAACGGAAGTTTTTTGATAATCTAAATGCTCTCGATGCTAAGAAATCCCATGAATATGACAACTTGCCAGTAAGTAATTAAAGGTGAAATTCAAAGAAAATCACAAATATGTCAACTAATGTATCACAAGAAACTGGTAAGCTAACAGATGGCCATCGTACAGGTTTTAGGTCAACTACATATCGGGTGATTTATAATAAATACAAATACAACCACCTCCATAGCAGCTGGGTTATACGAGAGATTCGCCGGAAAATTAACGATGTTTTAATGACGTCACTATATGGACCATTACTGCCCAAGCAGACGACATCCCATAAAGAATGAACATAATTGCAAAGCTATTATTTGTCAAATTATAATGAGTTAAGTGTATAAATGTAATGACATGTCAAACCATTCAAAATGGGATATGACCCGATTCTGATAACTAAAATCTTTTGCTTGTAAATACACATGATAGGGGTTAATTAACAATCAAAGAAACCAGACTTTCAAATTGAAAAACCCCCGGAATGATATTGAGGACGGCATTTGTTCCCTCTTGAAACGCCGAACATACCGCGGTGTGTGCAGCTGAATATACAATGGCGTCTTATTTTGTTTACAAGCGACAGATTCCTTTATTTTTGTATCGCTGCATTTGTCATCAAAATAAAACCATGCGCGGGGTTTAGAGTGAGGCAATAGATTATACATTTAGCCTGACGGTAGTGAAGTAAGAGAAAGAACTCAAGAGAAGACGAAAACACAGGCACTGAAAATGTGTGAGATGTAATGGGACATCGTCTGCTTGTGCAAATCATGTCCATACTGTGATCTCACACATCTCAGCAGCGTTCGGAGAGCTCTTCAGGTGCTATGCCGGGGCTGTATTTAAGCGTTTTGTAATTTATAATAATCATTACTTCGAATGTTTCCAAGCATTCAATTTTGATAACCTTGTCGAATCAAAGTTTCAACTGTGCAATAATGAAAATAAAGTTAGTTTTAAAATCAATGAATATATACTTTAAGGATGCAATACCCTACTGTTGCGCCACTGAAGTCCGGGAGACACTTAGCTGTAAAATTCCTAATAAAATCCAAGGATTGTTAGTTTTGTAGTGAGACATTGTTGCCATGTTCGTGAGGTATTTATATCTTATTATTGTTCTGATCACTCTTTTTCAGGTCAGTTATATTTGAGGAGAGACGGGAACACTCGCAGTCGCACTTGGGTTGCACTGGCCATTGTGAGGATCTTATTCAAATTAGATGTTCTTTGTGAGCCCATGTAAGTTATGCGAGGATCTTATTCAAATTAGATAGTTCTTTTTGAGCCCCTGTAATTTATGCGAGGATCTTATTTAAATTAGATGTTCTTTGTGAGCCCATGTAAGTTATGCGAGGATCGTATTCAAATTAGATGTTCTTTGTGAGCCCATGTAAGTTATGCGAGGATCTTATTCAAATTAGATGTTCTTTGTGAGCCCATGTAAGTTATGCGAGGATCTTATTCAAATTAGATAGTTCTTTTTGAGCCCCTGTAAGTTATGCGATGATCGTATTCAAGTTAGATAGTTCTTTGTGAGCCCATGTAAGTTATGCGAGGATCGTATTCAAATTAGATGTTCTTTGTGAGCCCATGTAAGTTATGCGAGGATCGTAT